CTGGGGAATGGCTGGACTCGATGGCGTTGGAGGGCTGTTCCAGCCCAGCTGATTCCACTGTTACAAGGTGAGATCCAGATTTGTCCAGAGGCTCCCTCTGTGCTGCAGACCCCTGCAGCAGCAGCTCCCTGAGCCGAGAGCCCCCGGAGCGGGTGTCAGATGGGGGACAGAGGCCAGCCCTGCCCGGGGACACGGGGGGACAGAGGCCAGCCCTGCCCGGGGACACGGGGGGACAGAGGCCAGCCCTGCCCGGGGACACACAGGGACAGAGCCCAGCCCTGCCCGGGGACACACAGGGACAGAGCCCAGCCCTGCCCGGGGACACACAGGGACAGAGCCCAGCCCTGCCCGGGGACACACGGGGACAGAGGCCAGCCCTGCCCAGGGAGCACAGGGCTGCACAGGTCACTGCTGGTGGCAGCTGCAGGACAGAGCGCAGGCACAGCTCCTGCACTGCTGCAAGGACATCAGCCGCTGCAGGGGCTGTGCTCAGCCATCACGCTGCAAAGCCTGCGCTTGGTGTCTGCTGCCAGGCCAACACGCCTCATTAAACACAGAATAATCAACAGGAGCGCTGAGAAACCAGAGTTAACTGATCAGAGCCATGTAACAGTACTGGTCATTCTTTTAAAAAAAGTGCTAACAAGATTCAGGCTGTTTTCTGTCTGTCACCTAAAAGTCCAAACCCCTTTCCAAATCACCCCCATTGACTTTTGCCAGAAACAACTGTATTCTTACATCACTGAGACCAAGCAGGAACAGAGCTGAGTGTGAGCTGTGGTGCTGAGACGCCGTGCCAGCACCCAGAGCAGAGGTTTACACACCTCAGTCGTGGTGTACGCCTCCTCTGCCGTGCACTCGGCCTTCACCGTGGGGTTGCTCAGCGCGAATATGATGGGTCGCTCGTTGATGGAAGCCATGGCTTTCAGCACATCCTGGGAGAACAGGCGTCCTGCCCCAGCAACGCCTGCAGGAGGTGGAAACACAAAACCAGCGTCAGAACCAGCATCAGAACCAGCATCAGAACCAGTGTCAAAACCAGGATCCAAACCAGCATCAGAACCAGCATCAAAACCAGCGTCAAAACCAGCATCAGAACCAGCATCAGAACCAGCATCAGAACCAGGATCAGAACCAGCATCAGAACCAGCATCAGAACCAGGATCAGAACCAGGATCAGAACCAGCATCAGAACCAGGATCAGAACCAGCATCAGAACCACCATCAAAACCACCACCAAAACCAGCATCCAAACCAGCGTCAAAACCAGCATCAAACCCGGCATCAAAACCAGCATCAAAACCAGTGTCAAAACCAGAGTCAGAACCACCATCAAAACCACCACCAAAACCAGCATCAAACCCAGCATCAAAACCAGCATCCAAACTAGCGTCAAAACCAGCATCAGAACCACCATCAAATCCACCATCAAAACCAGAGTCAGAACCACCATCAAAACCAGCATCAAATCCACCATCAAAACCAGGATCAAAACCGGTGTCAAAACGAGCATCAAAACCACCACCAAAACCACCACCAAAAGCAGCATCAAAACCAGTGTCAAAACCAGAGTCAGAACCACCATCAAAACCAGCATCAGAACCAGGATCAAAACCAGGATCAGAACCAGCATCAAAACCAGGATCCAAACCACCACCCAAACCAGCATCAAAACCAGCATCAGAACCAGGATCAAAACCAGGATCAAAACCAGCGTCTAAACCAGGATCAGAACCAGCATCAGAACCAGCGTCAGAACCAGGCTGGAGGCTCGGCTGCCCCAGGGCAGGGCACAGCCACCCTGCACGGAGCTCGTGCCAGCCCTCAGCCTCCCAGCCAGAGCCAAGCTGCTCCGGCACAATTTTTTCACAATTTCTTTCACAAAATCTTTCACAATTTCCACAGCAAGATCTCTGAGTGTGCTCCAGAAGCCCGTTTCACGTGAGCTCTTCGTATTGATGTGTACCAGTGTGATACACAGCATGAATAAATTCGTGTTAAAGTTATGATTGAACCTTCCCTGAGGAGATTGTAGTGACATGCAGCAAGGCCAACATGAATATTGATCTGCAAGGGGCATATCTCCAAGAAACCTCCGTCTGATAAGATTGTAACGATATTCACTCATAAATACTCATCTGCAAGAAGTGTATGCCCAAGAAACCCAACGAGATTACAACATTCACAACCAAAACAGCATGAATATTTGTCTGCAAGAAGTGTGTTCCTAAGGACCCCCAAAAAGCCTGAAAACATATAAAAAGCACCCTGGGACAGTTGCGGTTTGTGAAGCAAGGTGGGGAAGTGCTGCAGAAATCCTCCTCCCTGTCTCACCTGGTGCTGTTCATCCAGCACAGCACCAAACTGATTTTTACTTATGGCTTCCTTTTTATGATTGTAATTTGATTCTAGAATGAATTTCTTCTTTTTTATTAATCAAACTGGCTAATGGTTTGTACCACCAAGAACACGGTCCTGGATAAGCAGGTGGGAATCCCAGCTTACACCAGTGCACACCTGGCACTGGGGCTCCCGACCACACCCCAACCCACAGCTACAAACACACACTACTGAAAAAAGAAGTTTGTGCAGCGGCTACAAACTTGGGGGCCAGCAGCCAGAAAACCCCTTTCCTTTCCCAAATAAATCACGTGGAGAGGAAACTGCAGTCAGCTCAGGAAATACCTGTAATCCTGTCTGCTCTCTGCAGATAGGCACAGCTGTAAATAAACACCTGCAGATGTCAGTGGCCTCAGGGGTGCTGCTGGGGATCTGGCAGAGTCTGACCAGAGGTGCAGACTGGGGACAGAAGGACAGAAAATACCCAAATAACTCGAGTCAGGGAGCTCCTGCAGGAAACACGCTGGTTGTGGCTGCTCTCTTTCACAAGGACACGAGGTTCAGAAGCAGCACCACAGCTTGGCACATTCTCAAGAGGAAAACTGACCTCGCATTTCCATCTTCTTTACACCAGCAGAAACGCAGGTGGCTGCCACCAAGCTCCCCGCAGCCCTGGTAGCAAAATTAAAGCAGCCAAAAACCAAATCACAGGAAAACAATGTGACTCACCGATGATAGCTGAAGGCCGAAGTACATTCACTGCCTCGACAAACGTCTTTGGTATGTGCTCTGGAGGCTGATGTGTAAACGGCTCCTGGTTGGAATCCACCTTCTGCTCTCGGCCCTGCAGAGAAAACAGCGGTTCCTCCCGTGAGAGGACAGGGAGGGCAGTGCTCACCTGTGCTGTGCCATTCCCTGCCTGGGGCACCCCTACCTGGACCAGCAAGCCGTGCTTGTCAAACATCCATATTCTCCTGTAGGCCTCCTCACAGGAAACACCGCTTTCCATCATGGCCATCACAATCAGGTTGGCAATTCCCAGGGCGGCCTGGCGGATGAAAGGACTCGTGAAACCTTGTGAACTTGTAAAAACCTTCAAAGGTTTGCAGCAGGTCACGGAAGGGGTGTGCCATCACAGCCCCACCCTGCTCAGGATCCCCACAAACACCCCTCGGCGATGCTCTGAGACACAGGAGACGTTTGCCTGGAACTGGGGAGCAGTTTCTGGGACAGCAGTGACACGTCTGCGAGCAGCACAGGAGGGACAGCCCTGCAGGGATCAGGACAGGAGGGGCAGCTCTGCAGGGGCAGCTCTGCAGTGAGCAGCACAGGAGGGACAGCTCTGCAGTGAGCATCACAGGAGGGCCAGCTCTGCAGGGATCAGGACAGGAGGGACAGCTCTGCAGGGAGCAGCACAGGAGGGACAGCTCTGCAGGGAGCAGCACAGGAGGGACAGCTCTGCAGGGAGCAGCACAGGAGGGACAGCTCTGCAGGGAGCAGCACAGGAGGGACAGCTCTGCAGGGATCAGGACAGGAGGGACAGCTCTGGAGGGATCAGCACAGGAGGGGTAGATCTGCAGGGATCAGGAGAGGAGGGGCAGTTCTGCAGTGAGCAGCACAGGAGGGACAGCACAGGAGGGGCAGTTTTGCAGGGATCAGCACAGGAGGGATCAGGACAGGAGGGACAGCTCTGCAGGGATCAGCACAGGAGGGACAGCTCTGCAGGGACAGCTCTGCAGTGAGCAGCACAGGAGGGGCAGCACAGGAGGGGCAGTTTTGCAGTGAGCAGCACAGGAGGGATCAGGACAGGAGGGACAGCTCTGCAGGGATCAGGACAGGAGGGACAGCTCTGCAGGGATCAGGACAGGAGGGACAGCTCTGCAGGGATCAGCACAGGAGGGACAGCTCTGGAGGGATCAGGACACGAGGGACAGCTCTGCAGGGGCAGCTCTGCAGCCACCCCCGGGCAGCCCAGCCCAGCAGTGCTCATCCCTCCTGCCAGGAGCCCAGCCCCGAGCTGCGTGCCCTGTGCTCCCCACCCCGGAGCAGAGGGCAGCAGCAGCAGCCTGTGCCTGGCCCCGTGTCCCTTTCCCTGGCAGCAGGAATGAGGCAGAGCGGGATGCAGAGCAGGGCTCAGCGCAGCCCCAGCCAATTACTGCCACCAGGGCCTTTCCCCAGATGGAGAACTTCTCAGATAATTAAGTTATTTTGTCAGCACCGCAGGAGCAATCGTGCTGATGCACCAAGAAGCAGCACAGTGCTGCTCCTGGCACTGCAGCACCAGTAACTGGTGCCTGCTGCAGAATGAATTAACTTGCTGGGAAAAAACCCCTGTACTCCTCTCCAGTGCTATAAAAATTAACAAGGTGGTCTCACTACATCACCATTTTATGGTGAGTTTCCCTTCAAATACACATCCCTGACGCTTTTCTCAAGGCCATACAGGAAAATGAAAAATGTGAGTCCCTGCAAATGTTAAACACAGTCCTGTTTAAGCAGAGTCCTTTCTCCTAGTGTGTTTCAGCTGGCCTTACATGAAAAGTCGTGTGGTGGAATCCAGAGAAGGCAAACCGCCACGATGAGAAAATACACGTTTTAAATATCCCTGCTGCTCTCGGGACTCACCTCTCCCGCCCCAAGGAACAGCACTTTCTGGTCTGTCAGTGGTTTCCCAGTGGCTTTCTGTGCTGCCAGCAGTCCTGCCAAGGCCACCGAGGCTGTCCCTGTGGGAGCAGAGCACAGCTGAGGGCAGCTGAGCACGCCTGCACGGCAGGCTGTGGCTCTGGGGACAGTTCCTGCACGGATGTTGGGGAACACCGACCAAGGGTGTACCTTGAATGTCGTCGTTGAAGGTACAGTACTTCTCTCTGTATTTCCTCAGGAAGCGGAAAGCATTGTGGTTCCCAAAGTCCTCAAACTGGATGAGCGTGTTCTGGCCGTACCTACAGAGGATGGCAAACACCCCCATCAGAGAGAGGGAAACAGCAAACCCCGCGGGTCATCAATTATCTCTGTAAGCAGGCTGTCCTCAGGCAGAGCCCAGCAGCTCTGTCTCCGTTCCGTGCCTATTTACAGATAATGACAAGCAGCGTGTTCTAGGTCACTGAGGATGTCACTCCAGGGACAGACACACAGCCTGTCCCAGCTCCTGGCGCTTCCCTGGGTGGCTGCTCCAAGGACAGCGTGTTAGGGATGCCGTGTGCACTCCTGCCCTACCTGTCCGTGATGGCTTCCATAAATTCATCTATCAGGTCATCGTAGACCTGCGAGCGATCCCTCTTCTGGTACAGCCCCATGTAGAAGGGGTCCTTGAGGAGCGTCTGAAAGAGAGCACACCCGAGGGAGCAGCAGGTGAGCGCCCTGCCCGGCACACGGAGCTGACAGCAGCACGTCTGCTGCGCCCACGCGGCCCCTCCAACAGCCTCCAGCCTGCAATCCTCTCTCCTTTCAGCTGGCACCTGGGGCTGCTGATGGAACAAATCAATACTCTGAACAATAAACGCCTCCAATAAACCTAATTCACATCCCCAGCTTCTTCAGAGTCAGGTCAGAACTGACTGCCTACTTTGCAGTGTCCCAGCTTTCCAATTACTCCCAGATGCAACCCTTTCATGGAGAAATTAATGGGCACTTTCAGATCAGCACACAGTGAACTCCAAACCACTTAGCCTTTGCATAAAATATTCAGGTTTATCTCAAATGAAAGTGCCCAGAAAAGAAATTACTCAGTCAGAGTATGGGATGTTTTTTAAAAAAAAGCAGTTTTTATAGGGGTGACTCACTGGGTTATCAGTCCCAACGTCGATGCACACAGGCAGGCATTTATCTGGGTGTATCCCCGCACAGGCTGTGTACAAACACAGCTTTCCCACTGGAATTCCCATCCCGTACACACCCAGGTCCCCAAGACCCAATATTCTTTCTCCATCAGTGACAACGACAGCCTGATGAAAAAAAAATAAAAAAAAAAATTTTAAAAAAAGCAGGTCAAATCACGATCACTGAAATTTATAAAGATTAGTTTCGCACGGTCAAATGAAGAACAGATCACGAGGAATATTTTCCTTAACCCATAAATTTCATATTTAGGATAAAACACTGATCTTCAAGATATACATCACCTTAATTATTTGCATTCTGCCATCACCACTTAAAGAGCCAAGAATGCATTACTTAATATTTATGTTTCCATCAAATAACCAGTAAATCTTCAAAAACCCAGCTGAGATGGAATAACAAGCAGAACCTAAATCACACAGTGACAGTACCTTAACGTCGTTCTCTGGCCAGTTGTTCACAATTGACCTGATGTGGCCTCTGTCTGAGATGGAAATAAATAATCCTCTGAAAGGATAAAAAGTAAAAAAAAGAAAGAAAAAAAAAAAAACAAAACAAAACAAAAAACAAGCCAGAAACATTTTGTGGGCGACAATTAGAAATTTCACCGTGCAAAACTGAATGTCAAACAGGACAATTTAAAATTCAGAGTTTTACAGCCACTGACATAAATCACTCAAAGGACAACACCTGTTCCTCCCTGGGGCAGGAACCCACCTGGAGCCACCCCTCTCGGACAGGGAGCGAGGGTTTTGTCCAGAGATCCCTTTTTCCACGCTCCCTATGTCCGGACACAGATCCTCAGACCCACAGAAGGGGCTCGGGGAGTTGGGGAATCCCCCTGGAATCACAGAGCTGTCTGGCACCTGGGAAGAGCTGGGAGCGGGGCTGAGGGCCTGCACTTGGGGTGTTTAGTTACCCAATCTCCGTGTCTGCTTCCAAATGTTTTGTTTCTCAATATAAACTGCACCCCGAGATCTATTTTAACAAACTGCTGTGGCTAGAGGACAGGAAATATTGGACGCAGGTCCGGGTTAAACACTACACACAGCTGTTTTCCATGTGGCTGGAATCAGCCTTTAATCTGGGGTCTTTTCAACCCTTATATGGCTTTTCCAACCAGGTTACCCTGATGAAGGAGCTACGTCCCCTTTGGTGGGACCAGAGAAAACACATCAGTGACATCTGTTCGTTTTGTCTGGGGAAATATTATCTCTCTACAATAACACAATTCCTGAGAGAAACCGTTCCCAGGAACTGCTCCCTGGGAACAGATGAGCCCGTGACAGGCTGGAATTTCCCCCAGATGAAACGCTGCCCACAAACTCCCGCTTGCCCCGAGTGGGCACGCGCCCGGCGTGGCTGAACCGGAACGAGCACGGAACGAGGCACTTGCGAAGGCGAGGTGGAGGCGGAGGAAATGGCCAGGCACGGTGATTCCTGTCCTTACTTGGGCCTCCTGAAGATGTGTCCGTACTGGGAGCAGGCCAGGCCCACCGTCGGGGTGTACACGATGGGCATCAGGCGCTCGATGTCGTCCTGCAGCACCCTGTAGAACAGCTTCTCGTTCCTCTCCTGGATGCCCATGATGTAGATGTACCTGCGGCGGATGGGCACGGGGGAAAACAGCCCTGAGCGCCTCCTGCTCCCCTCGGGACAGGCTCCCGGGGGGAAAGGGGAGCGGGACAACAGCCAGCAGCACACCACGCCCCGTGGTTAAAGACAACCCGCGGAATTGCTGCAGCGGGGAGCCTCGTTAGTGCCACAGACACAATTAGAGCTGTTAGAAGTGGATATCATGTTATCGGCTTTTCGCAAGTATTGTAATATTGTATGTATAATGTATAATGTATATATGTATTATATATGTATATATATGTATTATGTCTATAATGTATGTGTAATATTATAAGATTAGAAAATTCAGCTGCAATAATATATTCTTCTTTATTTCTGTTATTAATGAAACTTAGAAATAGTGGTATAATACATGTATGTTAAGCTATGACATAGCATGAAAACAAAAACTACTTTTGTCTGTGTAACCCAAAGACTGAAAAAGATAGCTGGAAACTTCTTTTTCTTTTGTAAACTCTCTTATCCAGATGAAGACAGCAGTGACCAGAACTCTGGTGGGGGAAGGAATTTATTGCATTTCTGGTATCAGAGAATGTAAATCTCGATGGTGCCAAGAGGATTGATCTATTGGGAAGGGGGCAAGAGAAAACTGAACAGAAGAACCCCAAAGATCCTGAGAAGAATGTGTGAATATGCCTGAGAATTTATGGATATGTAGTAGGATTCTGTTTTTAAGGGACAATCCTTTGTTAGTAAGGTGAATGCAGAGACACCCGGCCCTATCTGTATACTTTATTTTTTTCTCCTAATTGTTTTTTTTTTATTAAGTTTTTAAATTCTATAAAAATTACGTGCACCTCGTTTTTCACAGAGCCAAAGAATCTCTCATCCGAAAAACGTGCCTCGTGACTCCCGACGCCAACACACACAGGGCAGCTCTGCCACAGAGTTCACTCTGAAGGACTCGGGTGGGTGTGTGAATTAAACCTGAATTTCTGCTAATTTACCCCCCAATTTACTGCGCATCAACCCATGTCCAGTCCTGCTGACCCGAGGACATAAAGATAATGAATTAGCAATTTGCCTCGGGCTACAGCAGCCGGGCACTCGGCCAGTACAGATGGCAGGACCGCTTTGGACCGGCAAGTGACATGATGTGGATTGAAGAGCCAATCTTTCAGCTCTGATGAGAACAAAAGAGCTTTGATGTGGTCCAGCGAGCCCCAAACCACCCCAGCTCTCCTCTTGCCTGTGTATTTTTACAGGCAGAGATAAATAAAGATGACGTGAAAACGGCAACGGGATGCTAAAAACACGGCACGCTAAAATAACAGACGGCAAAGTCCTTTGCGGTTCGCCAAACCAGTGGGTGAAGTAATGAAAGATGTAAAAAAAAAATACACATGATGGGACTTAAAATTCTGCTCTGGTAGCTCCTTTTGAGCAGTAACCACTGCACATGTCAAACACAGGTTTTGGTATCTCAAACGCTCAATTTACTTTCATTATCAGACATTTTTATAGAATGGGCCGAGTGCCACCTGCTGTGCTCCAGCAACCTGCCACTCCCTCTTACAGGTCACAGAAATACCTATTCCAGGTTAAAGGCAGGTTTGCAGCTTTGTTACTCATTTTCACACATTCTCTTTTGCTGTTTTATGACATGGAATATTGGGGGGGGGGGGAAAAACAAACCCCAAACTAAACTTCCCAACCACATTTAACCACAGGATGAAAGCGGTTTTCTGTGCCAAAGTAACAGCCAGGAACTGGAAAAACCCAGCGGAGGCACCAGAGGCTTTGGTTATCCCCACGCAGCATTCCCACATTTCCACCTCGTTCCCAGCCCCAAAATTCCCCTTCACCACAGGACAAGGCCGGAGCAGCGCTTACTTTTCCAAGGGGTCAGTCATTTTTGCCAAATTCTTGTGGAAGCGCAAGGCTTGGATGTCTTGTGTCTCTATTTTGGGAGGTAGGAGTCCCTGCAGCCCAAGCATCTGTCGCTCGTGCAGGGTGAAGGCCATGCCCTGAAAAACGAGAGGTGAGCAGCAGTTACCGATTCCCGCTCCAGGAATTCCCTTTTCTAGGAAACCACTCCGCTTTTTCGCCCTTTTCTGGCCGCAGGGTTTGGGTGTGTTTGCCTCTTGCCGGGGTTTTGTGGCTACCCCTTTGGGCCACAGCTTGCCCACAGCCCCGAGCCCTCGTGGCCAGGTTTGGTTCCGCTGCAAACGGATTAAAAGTGAAATAACAGCTGCTGTTGAACCGTTTCACCAGGCCAGCCCCTGCAGCCACAGACAGCAGCATTCAGCCAAAATTTTCATCTGAATCGCTCCGTTTGCTGCTCTTTTCTGCACACACACACAGCAGCACAGACAAGCTGCCCCAAACGCTCCCACTAAGATCGCAGCTCAACCCAAATACTTCCTTTTCACTTCTCACATTTGCATTTTGGGACAGACCCCATCTGTTTATCTGCTCCCAAAGAGCAGCAGTGGTGGCAAACTGGGAGAGTTCAGCTGCAACATCTGCCCGTTCTTCTCCGTTTGGGAGATGGAGGATGAAAAGTTTAAGTTTATTGACTTTCACTGCCAAGTTATAAAAAAATAAAAAATAAAAAATTAAAAAGCTTTCTAAGGTTTGCTTTATGCCTTGTAATTACAGTTCAAATTCCTCCAGCCATCAGAAAGGTCAGAGAATCAGAATATCCAGAATATCCTGGAAGGTCAGGATAGGAAGGAACAGGAAGGATCATCCAGGTTCAACTCCTCAGCTGACAAGAAAAAAAAAAAATCATAATTCCACTTGACAATGAAGGCATAAATTCAGATCAGAATGCAAAATATTTTCACCTCTGTTGATGTGAGAACAGACTCGTCACAGGTATTTGTAGAACTACGCCCATACACAAAAAGTTCTAGAAAAGCCTAGTTGTGGTATAATTGATCACACCTGACTGGTTTCTAAACAATTCTCCTTAGAGAAAAAAAATCCCACCATTAAAATAATTACAATTTTTACATGATTTTTCTCTTTCCTATTCAATACCAGTTGTTTTGACTACATTGACTAAAGCAGCCCACCTGCTTTTCTGTACTGATTCTACACTGTGCTCTACAGTAATAAAATACTTGAAAAGTTAGAAAGCAAAGGAAAAATAAAAACAACCCAACCCCAAAAAACTTCGGTGTTTTGCCTTCTTGCAGAAAACTCCATGTATTTAACCCTAAAATAAATCTGTTTTTCTCTGTATTTATTTCCATGTCTGCCAACCCTTTGTGTAATAGATCTGACAGTAAATGCTGGTTTCAATTTAACCTTTTAGGACAGTAGAGTTTTTCTACAAGGAGTCAGGTTTGCAAACCACTGTCTTCTTTCCCACTCTAATTGCTACTCTCCAGTATTCTTCCAACAGTAAATACAAATAAACTTCAGATGACAGTTCATTATTCAAGTTTTTAACCTTGCCGCTGGTTTTTGGGGGGGTTGATTTTAATTTTTTGGTTTTTTTTTTTGCTGAGGTGTACCAGTCACTTTAGCCACCTTAGTGGTATTTTTTTCAAAAAACTGATCTGGATAATCCAACATTTCCACGAAGAGCACAACCACGTGAACAGCACTGACACCAGAGAAAAACCCAGGGAAACACGCTCAGGGTGCCACAGAGGTTTTTCTGTGTGCTGCAAAGCCTGAGCCCCACCTCGTGCGTACTTCACAATATATAATAATATAATAATAATACAATAAAATACGAATTCTCTGCCAGCCAAAATGCATCCCCCACACAGAATCCTCTCAGCTCTCTTCCCTTTCCTTCCACAACCCCCCAGCTCGCTGCCATGAGTGTTTAATAACTTCTAAATTCTAAATTTAAATTCTAAACAACTTTCGAATTTTAAATTTAAATTAAATTTTAAATTCAACCTTTTAAAAGCAGCCCTTTCTTGCAGCGCAGACTTAGGCCTGGAGGCCGAGCACAGCTGGCAAACATTTGTGGTGTGTTACTTCAGGCAGCACAGAAACAAAAACGATGCCCAAACGTTGAGAGCGTTTAGAGGAAGAAGAAGGAGGAGGAGGAGGAGAAGAGAAGTTTATTCTCTGGTCAGCAGGGCTGCTGGAGTTCAGTGGAAAGCCAGGCTCCCCTCACTGGCTACTCTGATATTTTACTGTAAACCAAGGGAAATCCTTCCCTGCCAAAACCTACAGCCTGCCCTCCAGAAATCCTCAAGTCCTGTAAAAATCTTGTGATTCCCACTATTAGTTTGGCACGGGAACGTGGCTTTTCCCAGCTCCCCTGCAGGGTGGAACCTCTGCCCTTAAACCACCTGGACATGCCCCAGTAACAGCCAGGAGCCCTGAGCCTGTTCCAAGCAGAACATTCTGCATCAATCTTCATTCAGTTTATTCACATTCTTTCCTGTTTGCAGGCAACCTGGGTGCTCAGTGTCGCTGGAGCTACAGTAACATCCAACAGGGTGAATTTTTAAGTAACACTAAGTACTTTCAGCTGTTGATTTACATGACAATTACATCTTAGCGTATCCAAAGAGCTTTCATTTCTGCTTAGGCCTAAATCAGGAATCAGAAGAGCATCAGCCTTCACACAGAAATCCAGTCCTTTTTTCCAGCTGGAACAGAACAAGCTCAGTCCAGAGCAGTGAGACAAAAACCCCTGAGCCCTTCTAGCACTTGCTGTAATCTCTGTCCATGAGCGTGAGCTTGTTTTGGGGTTTGGGTTTAGATGTGGATTTGGGACTGCCTGCCCAGTATCCCCTGGGATGGAGCTGTCAGACCCCCAGCACCCTTCCAGCACATCGGGAGCCACGCAGCCCGGCACCGGTGCCACCCAAGGGTCCCCCCAGCCTTAATCCCCGGGATTAAGGGCTCGAGCACTCCTGCAGTCTGGGTTCAAGCAGCAGGGATCCCTTTCTGCGGCTCTGAGCCCCGACTTTCACTCCCATTAGTGGCCTTAATCCGCCTGGGATATCCAGCACGGATAAAGCATCCCAGAGAAACACCCCACAGGTTCATTAATTAACGCTCAAAGGACAAATCCACCTCGACAAAACCCCTGTTCTGCTGGGAGGGGGAATGCAAAACGCCACCGGGGCGAAACGTTGGCCGTGTTTTAGTTAAACTCACACTGAACCACCGTGAACTTTAATCCACAAACCCTGGCAGTGGGATCCCGCAGCACAAAGCCAGTGCTGCTATAAATACCAGCACAGACAAGTTCTCGCTGCCTGCTCCGCGTGCAGCAGCCCGGATGCTGCAAGCTGGATTTTTATAGCACCGCTGAGCGAGTAGTTCTGAGAGGTTTCCACGCAGAGAACAGGTACTGGTGGTGAGTCCTCCCCGCCTGCAGTCTTGCAGCCAGGTGTATAAAAAAGAGTGTACTTTTAACCAACCCTGAATGTCCTCATATGCAGCAAAAACCCCATCCAGGGCTCCTGATAAAGGTGTACATATGGTTTATATCCAAACATGCCACTGCTTAGAAAATTAGTTACTCTACTTCACCAAAGATTTGGTTTCCTTGTAAGTCCTAGGAATCGTTGGAACAGATTCAGCAGTGTAGCACAGCCTTTGAAGCAGCATCATAAACAACGTGAAAATAAAATAGGTTTTATGCTGGATTGTGGGCTGCTTCTCTTGACTTTGCTCCCTTGGGCTAAACACAAAGTTCACTATTGCACAAGATGCCTCCACTGCAAATTAATAAAGTTCATTCATAAGAATCAAAGGTATCTTTGCTATCTCTACCAGAGATTAAAAGCTTATATAAGAACAGGGTCAGAACACGAAATTCTCTCCTGATTTCTTTTGTCCTTCGTTTTCAAGCCCAATTCTGTACCTTTATCCTGGCAGAAGCAGCACAGCCTGTACCCTGGCAGGTGTCCTGGCTGTGTCCTGGCTGACACAGCAGTGCCCTGTGACACGACCTGCATCTCCATCAGATCTCCGAGCACCTCCAGCTCCGGGAGCCCCTCGGGGGCAGCCAGGTGTGAACCTGGCTGTGACCCACAGCTGTGCCCTCTGCTAACCAAGTGGACGCAGCTGGGAGCACTCCCTGCAGGAAAGGGGAAGAGGCAGGAGCAGAAAGCCCTCGCTCCCAGCCTCTCCTGGGTACGTTTTCCACAGTTAGGCCGAGCTGCGCGCTGCAGATCACGAGGGTGATGATTGAAATGGCATCCCTGAAGGCCCCGGGGACATCTCTGTAAACTGCTGTTTTTCCAGCTGAGCAGATGTGGCTGCCCCTGCCCTCCTTTCAGGGCATTGATCCCACAATAAAACCCCAAGGCAGTGCCCTTCCCTCCTCCCGCCATCCCCCAGCCCCCAGGTGCCCAGCAGAACACCTGGCCCAAGGTAAGAGAGGTTTGGGACTCTCCCACCAGCCCCCAGGTGCCCAGCACAACACCTGGCCCAAGGTAAGAGAGGTTTGGGACCCTCCCAGCACCTCGGGCAGCTGGTTACACATTAAACAGCTCCAGGTTCCCAGGTGCAGCAATCCCTTTGGAGAGCACGCAGATGCCAGGGGAGCTGTACAACCTGCGGGATCAAACTCTGGGAACCCCTCTGTCCCCAAAGCAGCCGGGCAGGACACGGGCAGGACACGGCACGGCGGGGGAATCCCGGGGGGTGTGCACGGCTCCTGTCGCTTCCTGACCACAAACTGATCACAACCCTTCCAGCACTGCTCCTCTCAGCACCTGCATTCCCTCCCCACAGCCTGTCTGTCCTGCTTTCCCCAGCAAGGCACCGCCTGTCCCACGCCCTGGCTGCTCAACCCACCTGAATCTAAAACGTTTTAAAATAAATTAAGTGTTTCAAAACCAGCATGGTGAGAAAGGGAAGGGAGCATCTGCTTTTACATCTTCAAGGTCATACAATCTTTTCTTTACATTCTCCCGTCCTATCCCTTTTATTTTGTTCAAGTAGTTTTTACTTTGGTTAGGTTTTTTTTTTTCTGTTTATTTTTTTCATTCTGAATCGGAAACGTACTGTTAGGGTATTTCCCACAAGTCAGTGAGGTCATGCACAAGTCTGCTAAGAAAATTGTCTCTTTACATAATTTAAATTTATCGGAGTTTGTGAAAGGTGTGCATGAAAATAAATTGGGGTGAAAAAGCTGTGAATTAACAGAGATGAAACTGTGAGCAAAATGTAACATTTGAGAAGATGACCACCTGTGTGAAAGATAAGACACTGGTAAAACTACTCAGGATCAGAGTGCGATTATTAACCAGTGAATGTTTCTTTAACATTTATCACACATTTCCATGCACACACCTATCGCTGTTTCCAGGCACATACATACACACAAATATGTGCATGTATAAACCATGTGATTTCACACTGAACCAAAAATCTGAGAGGCACTGTCAGTGCAGGGGGAGTTTGTGGACACCAGGAGGAATTTCCCCATGGCTCAGATGGCCAGGATTTGGAAGGTCTGGAGTGCCCGTCCCTGTCCAAGGAGGGCCTGAGTGGCACTCAGGGCTCTGGGGACAAGGTGGGGATCGGGTGACAGGCTGGACTGGGTGGTCTGGGAGGGCTTTTCCAGCCTCGGTGTTCCTGGGATTGTGTGATAAGCTAACAGAGGAACAGAGTCACTGCTCCTGGGCTAATGGAACCCACCGTACAAAACACAACCACACACCACTACGAGAACCGATGCCACAACCAACATCACCATCTAAAGTGCACCGGGAAGTGTCACCGGTTACTCCGCCACAGAAAGCGAACACGCAGGTAACGCTACAGGTACTTCCAGTGGGGACAGGGACACTGATGGCACTCCATGTGGCAGAACACACACCACCAGAGCTGCTGCAGGAGACAGCCAAGGGTGGGCAAGAAAAGAAAACAAAACTGTCAGGGAAAAACCTACTCCAGCGGCAAAGAGCAGCAGATTGGTTTGCACAAGGGTGAGGGCTGGTTCCTGCCCCTGATGCTGTCCTTCTGCAGCTCTTGTTTTAGGGACACGTGCCTTAGGGGAGACCAAATGTTCTGCAGAGTTGATAGAGGATGTAAAAATTATATGTAATCAAGTAAAACATGATAATCTCAACAAGCTGACAGCAAGAGATAACACCCTTTATCTGTTTCTGTACATAGATAATATATATACACACGTGTGGGGCAGCAGGGGTAAAGTACTCAGTGTGTTTAATAAATCATTGATGTCTCTGCTGAATATCCAAAATGCACTTCCACACAGATATTGCATCCAGCAGTGTCAGTGAGCTCACTGATCCAACAGGCGTCAGCAGGAAGGACAGGCTGATACAGCACAGACAAACTAATGCACAACGGGGCTCCCTCTCACAAGTCTAACTTCTTGGAGGCATTAAAAAATTCAAAAGATCAATTGCCATTTACCAGAAGCTCCCTATTCCCTTCTACTCCTCAAGAAAGAAACTGCTTTGGGCTCAGGCCAGCAGAGAATTCCAGGGTTAAAACAAAAGGAAAATGGAAGGATATTACTAGAAAAACAGTAAGAAATGGCCTATTGTTCTTGTTTCTGAATACTGTTGCATAATCAGCATTTGGAAAAGCTTACAGGGGTTGAAGTAATTTCCACTGGCGTGTCAAAGTCTTTAGAGCTCTCAGAAAGTCTCGAGATAATCTGATCTTGACAAATCACATCAATTTACTCTTTTCTCCTTCCCTGACACAGCAATCTCAATTTTAGTTTTGCAGCCAGCCAATCTCTCCCTTCCACAGCTCTCTCTCTCTCTCTAGGCAGCGTGGATTCGTGCAGGACTGAGGCATCTCGCACTCTGCTGTCCAGGGAGGAAAGGGAAGGGGAAAAGAACCCAGCTCCACCGCTCAGGAAATGCCCTGTCACACACAGGTAGATTTGCCACCTTTCTCGACCACTTTCAGACATGCCCTCAACTGATTTCTTACCAGTTTTAATTTACACATTCATGGCCTCAAGATGCCTCATGGCCACAACAACTCCAGCAGGGGAAAAAAAAAAAAAAGGAAGAAGAGGTTGAGGATGGGCTTATGGAAACTGGAAGAGTTTTGTGAAGGGAACAAAGAGTTACTTTTGTGTAAGTCTGCCGCAATGCATGGAATTAACATGATATCTCTACCTCCCAGTTAGCTCCCATGGAGGTTTATTTTTAGATGCTCTTTCGGGCTCTGCAGAGGAATGTTTCTTAGGTGATGTGACTCAGTCCCAATTCTCAGTCCTCCAGGAAAAGGGCCAGGGCTAGGACAGAGAGGCTAACGCCTTCAGTGACCAGCAGAATTCAGAACCAACTTTTGCAAAGCCTGAGGCTCAGGCCTCCCTCTCTCTGCCCCGCAGGCAGTCAGCCAGGCAGCGCCAGCAGCCCCTGCTGAGCCAGGGAGAGCACTGGCAGTGGGGACAGCAGCCAGGGGACACGGGAGCCCTGCAGGTGCCCTGGCAGCAACCTGGAGCTGCTCCCTGCCTCCACCACCCGTCCTGGCAGTGTCCCAGGCCCGCAGGCGGCTCTGCCCCGGGACAAGGTCCGCTGGACTGCGGGCAGGTGCAGATAAGACATCCGGCAAGGACACGGCACCCACCTTGTTTGTGCGCGGGTTCAGCATGAGCGGCTTGCCCTTCTCCTTGGTGTGCAGGCCGTGCCGCGCCAGGGCGCAGGGCGCCGCGGCCGCGCGCAGTCGGGACAGCATCCTGCCTTCCTCCGCAGCACCTGCAAGGCAAAGGCGACACTCAGACACCCCGCAGAGCCCACAGCCCTACCTGCAGGCTGACACAGACCCGTACCTGCAGCGTGACACCCCGAAAAGGAACATCCCGAAGCTGTGCTGCGGCAGCCGGGAGGGGGAAGAAGAAGGGAGGGTTTGGAATGCTGAGAGTGCAGACTGCAGGGAACACGGAGGGACCCTGATGGGAGCTGGCAGGACGTGTGGGCAGCCAGCACTCCCTCGGTGTTGCCTTACAGCACCACGGCAGAGCAGAAATGCCAGCAGCAATTTTAACTGAACGTGGTGACACGTGAACCGGCGCTGGCGCAAATGCCGGCCAGCACAGCTCCACCTGGGCAGGTGCACCCACGGCATCCTCACTGAGATCCTCCGCAGCTTTGTGACAATGAAATCTCCTGGCCTGGACAGCACGGCACAGAAACTGTGTCTGTCAGCATGTTAAAACTGTGCTACAACAAAATGAGGCATTAGAACGGACAAAAAACTCCACTGAACTGTGGATTCCAGGCTTAGATTTTTACAGTTCCAAACTTCCAAAATAGAAAGGTTGTTTTCAGAGAGAATATATCTTGTAAGGTAAAGGATGCTTCCCTAAAAGAATTTAAAAATCGTTAGTATAACTCAAGTCCTAATCCTGACAGGTGTTGGCAACCCTTGCCCTCGTTTTGCTCCGTTCCTGATCACAAGCTCTTTGGAGAAGATAAGAATCACAGGCTTGTCTGTAAGGCAGGAGCAGCAGGGAATGTGCAGGACCCATCTCCCAGGGATTATTTCACCGAGACAGAGAGCCAAGGGGAAGCACAGCAGGACCACGTGTGGTGGCACAGGGAGGGACACGGGAGAGGGGACCCATCACCCCACAGCCCCCATACACATCCACAGCCCAAACAGGCAGGGACAGTAAAGCAGGGCATGAGACATTCTTAAGGAATGAAATGATGCACGGCTTGGATTTTTAATTTCTTCCAGATGGAAGACAAAATTGAATTAAGGAGCAAAACTTCATTATCTTAAATATCGCCTGAATATTTTAGAAGACTTTTCTGTAATCAAAATTGCACATAATCAACTTTTAAGATGGCAGACTGGTCTTACAAGTTACAATCCAAGGATTTCCTTGGAAATCTTTCCAAGCTTTAAAATACTATGCAAACATTTTACTATTTTTCATCATCAGTTATGCCTGAGTTTCTCCTCTACCCACTATGAAGCGTAGAGGGAAGCTGCAGAAGCATCCCTTTCTCTCAACCCTTGTTTGTTTAGGCCTGTGAATGACAAAAGTTCCACTCAGAACCGCTGTGTTTATTTGCTCTGGGGTAAAGACCGTGAATTTGCAGGGTGCAGTGGGGCAGGAGGCCTGGCAGAGCGCTGCCTCTGACCTGCTCCTTCCTCCCCAAACCTGCCAGCAGAGCAGCGAGCACAGCTGGTCTGCCACACGCTGCAAATCAGACAAGGGAAATTAACCGTGCGCTGCAAAACGCATTAATTTTGGGCTGCCTTCAGGATCAGCAGGTTCGGATTTAACTGGTTTTAGTTCCGACTGCCCATTCGCCATCCCCACACGGTTGCAGCTCCACCAAAAATGGTCTGTGGGTCCGGTGCCACAGCAAACCCCATCCCACAGCCCCATCAGCCTGGTGCCACCAGGGCTCCCACCTGTCACCAGCCTCAAACACAGCATTAAACCCGAACTCCTTCATACCTTAAACACATAATTTAAAAGTAGGACAAACACCACACCTTACCTACCCCTCTCTAATTAAATTTAAATTACTTTGTTGCAATTAACGAGCATTTAAGAAGAGAACAAGATTGTGGCCCAGATTCACCCTAACTTGATCAATTAACTCTACTCAACCAGGCAGAGGGGAAAGACTTTCCAGAGGAGTGATACAAATCTTGCTTTCTTCTCTGATGTGTGAGAGAGGAGACTTCCTTGTTTCCAAAGTGTCACACCAACACCTAAATTGTTCTCTTGATGGAGGTTATCTCAGATTCATAAAGGGGCAGAATCAGGTTTCATTTTCCACTGAGCCCTCTGTTGAGATCCGAGAGATATGATCCCAGCTGATTTATATCCAGCACAAAACCTGACTGGTCACTCAGCCCTGAGCTCTCCCTCCCCTGCTCTTGTAATTGTTCCCTGTTTCTGTTTCCTCTCCCATCCTGCACATCTCCTCCTTCTGTCACAGACTTTTGAATGTGGTTTGGCAAGAGCTTGCCTCCAGAACCCACTACACTGTGACACGCCCAACCCTGACCCCACAAAGCAGGAAATCCTTCCCCACGCCTGAGTCTACTGCTCTGTAGGGCTGCCAGCGGCTCTGCCCGCGTGGCCACGGCCCTCTGTCACCCACCCCAGCCCTGCTGCTGGCCACCAGCCTTGTCCCCTGGGCTCGTGGGGGAGGACAGAGGGACAGAAGGCTCAGGCTCCTCGGCTCACATGTGCTGGAGAGCCCTTGTTTCTGGGAAGCTGCAGGAAAGGCCCCCAAACCAGCAGCTGCTCTCAGGATGGAAGGGCTGGATCGTGCTGCTGCCTGGGAGGCTTGAATGATGGGTTTGTAGGAGAGAAGCCAGGCTTCAGAGGGTGGTAGTCTAACCATAAAAAAAGGGAGACAGAATTTTGGCAGTAGAGGCTGACAGAGAATTCCCGTGGTTTGGGTGGGAAGGGAACTCAGAGTCCCTCCAGTGCCACCCCTGTCCATCAGGGACAGCTTCCAGTGTGCCAGGCTGCTCCAAGCCCTGTCCAGCCTGGCCTTGGACACTGCAGGGATCCAGGGGCAGCCCCAGCTGCTCTGGGCACCCTGTGCCAGGGCCTGCCCACCCTCCCAGCCAGCAATTCCTTCCCAATATCCCAGCTGGGCCTGCCCTCTGGCACTGGGAAGCCATTGCCTGTGTGCTGTCCCTGCAGGCCTTGTCCCCAGTCCCTGGGCAGCTCTCCTGGAGCCCCTTTAGGCCCTGCCAGGGGCTCTCAGCTCTCCCTGGAGCCTTCTCTTGTGCAGGGGAGCAGCCCCAGCTCTCCCAGGCTGGCTCCAGAGCAGAGGGGCTCCAGCCCTGGCAGCAGCTGCGTGGGGACCCGAGGGAAAGGGCAGCACTCGCCGCGATGTGAAAACACACAGAGAGGACGGAGGTTGTGCAATGTCCCGTGGGGAGGAACTAGGAAGAAAGAAGCAGAATTGAATCAGGAATGAATTCCTGCCCAAACGTGTCAGCATCAGCAGGGTCTCTGTTCTCCCTTCAGTGCCTGACAATGGTGAGAACCAAACAAGACCATGGCACACCTCTAGCCTGAGTCCAGTACCAATGGCAATTTTTGACTGGCTCTGCCACAATTTAAGGGGATTAAGTCCTTCAGCACACCAGAGGACAGCTCCCTGCTGTGCCTTATCAGGAGGCATCTGGCCGGGTCAAACTAATTACCAATATGGACAAGCGCCCTTATCTGGGAGCAAATGTTCTGCTGCTCCAATTATAGATTTGTTAAATGGCAAAACCTACTTTTAAGGGAAAGGTTCATCACGCTCTTAAAAGGCAGAATTAGGCTGGTCAGAGCAGAAGATCAGAGTCAATTAAACCAAGACCAGCTTCAATTACTGCCCAGGCTGCCTGACCTGTGGATCTCCCCTCAGTGCCAAGGAGCGTCTGTCAGAGCACAGCAACTTGTGCTGCATGACTCTGCAGTCTGCCTTCAGTTTCAGGGGTGGGGAGACATAAATGCACTTCAAGTGCTCCTGAAATCCTGTGTCAGTGATTTCTTCCAGGCTTTCCTTCGTGTACAGGAACCAGCCTGTGCCAGGGAGCCTTTTTCCATTGACAAGCTGAAATCACTAATTCAAGGCCATAGAGGCCCCACGGAATTTCCAAACTTTTAGGCCTCAACCATTCCTAAGCCAGCAGACTTTTTCTCCTGTGTCCCCAGAGCAATCCCTGTGGTGAGCCTGCACCACCTCAGGTCTGGTGTAGACGCACCATGCACTCAATCCTCTTTTTTTTCACTAATAAACTGGCCCACCCAAGCATGACACAAACCAGGCACACACGAGCTGGCTTCATCACTTCTGTAATGATAACTCAGTCTAAAATTATTACATTAGGCAAGCAGCGGCTATAAGTGTGTCTCCCCACAAGACTTCTACCCAAAGAAAGCAGCTCCCCCTGCACCCACCACCCTTCAGCAGGCCAAGGATGACTTTCATTCCAGAGCAGCAGCAGCCCAGGAGTGAGGAGCAGAGGATGGAGGCTCTGCACAGCAGCTCAGCACCTCTGGCTCCCGGAGCTGACCAGATGCTCCTGCTGAGGGGAGTTAACAGCAAACTGTGGCTAAGCTATTTCAGGTTCCCTCCACCAAAGTCCCGGGCCACCACTTTAAAGGACATTTCTAAGGCACCTTGAGATCTGCAGATTAAAAGGAACAGTCGTGGGGAGAAATTACTAATGAAGTGTTTGGCACAGGCAGGCAGGTTGTTTTGGAAGCAGAACTTTAGCATACTGGAACGGCTTTTTTTCCCTTTTATTCTGAGGCAGCCAGTTCAACAGGGAGAGAAGTTAGGTGTGGAGCACTGAAACAGAGTAAGTTCACCACTTGAGGCTGGAAACCTTCACTAAACAAAGCACATTCAGGTGAACTCAGATGAGAATGATTTCAGAACATCTTCCTAAAAAGAGTATTTGACAATTACTGTAATTTACAGTATTATCAGACTTCTTGCAGCACAAACAGGAAGTAGGGCTGAATTGTTTGGTACTGTAGTCCTGGTTGGTAGCAGCTCTTACCAGACAACATCAGAGAGCTGTATTTTTATACATTAACAAACCTGACCTAAATATCCTGATTCTTAAGCACCAGAAAGTCCATTATCTTTTACTCTGGAAACCGCAGCAGCAGTACTTTTGGCCAAGTCTGACAAGATGTATTGTCATTCTTGATTAATTTTCATTTGTGTAACTAGGAGGGCTACTGGTGGCAAAGGTAAGGACAAAAACCTTATCCTAAAACGCCTCAGAAGTAGCCCAGGAACAAGCAGAAAGGTGCCCCTGCTCTGTTCTGGAGAGCTGGTACACCCCTGGGCCGGAGCTGTTCAACTCAGAAACACAGACAATTTTTGGACACGGGTTGAGAGGCGGACAGAGACGCTCCCAACAACTGCTGCTCTCACAAACGGGAGTTCTTCTTGGCAAAGCAGCTCAGCCCCGAGCACAGAGGAACCCTGCTGCTGGCAGCTCAGTGCCAGCCAGGTGAAGTGCAAGCCTGACAACCTCCTACAAACCTCGGTAGGGCTTTAAAAATAAACATCCCACTTAAATCACAGAAAAACCTGAGAATCTATCCATGCACCACGAGCTACCGGCACTGCTGCTCCTGCTGCAGTGAAGGTGCTGGCGCCACTCGTAAAGATGAGCATCCAATTGGTACTCACTCAACCACGGCACGCTTTGACAGCTTCTGTCTTAGTTTGCAGGAGAAAAAGCTTCAAATCTTGCCTGTGCTCAAGCTGCTGACTCACAAGCCACCGCGCAGGATTATCAGAACTTTCCTCCTGTGACTGTAACGCGCAGTTTGTCTTAAAATACAGGCTCGGGTTAATTTTCTACAGATCTTATCGCGTCTAATAAGGCATTAGACACTGCTGGCTGCACACACACGGACCACTTGCAGAGCTGCACATTCTGCCCAGCTCTTTCATTTGCCCCTGCTTAAATTACAGGTACACAGAAAACCTCCCTTTGATGTTCACTACTTTTTGGAATTACCAACACCAAATATTCGACATTTGGTGGCTTTTGATCTTGCTTGGCTGCAAGACTGTCTTTTTTCACCAACCCTTTATCAATGTGCTGTGAGTTTGGTTTGGTTTTTTCCCTATTAATTATGAGATTCTTGCCATGGCACAACACCCCTGGTTGCTCAGACAACACCACTTAGTTAGTATTTTTTAGTGGAGCGTGGAGCCAGCGACGGCGGCCGCTTCTTCCAACGAGCAGCCGGGGGGCCAAACCCAAACAATAACTCTAAAGTACCGGGCGGCGCTTCCTGCTCCGAGGCCGCGCCAGCTGCTCCGCTCCTTCCCAACTTTCACTCTCCAGGGCCACGGAAGTTCACGGCAGGTCGGGCCCAGCGCGGGGGCCCGCGGCAGCAGCTGAGCCCGCCGGCTGGGCGCTGCCCTGGCCTCGGGCAGCTCCCCGCGGGCTGGCAGCTCCATTTGTCACCGTTCTGACAGGGGTAAACACGCACGGGCATAGTCGGGGCTGCTTCCCCCGGCTCCTCGCGGGCACCTGCCGCAGGGCCCAGGGCTGCCCCCGCCGCAGGCCGAGCCTCGGGGCCTCGCACCAGCGTGCAGCTGCTTCGGCACTATTCCCCGCGGGGCCGGACCGGGGACACGGAGCATCCCGGGCGGGCTCCATCCCCTCCCCGCGCCCGGGCGGCCTCCAGCCCCTCAGGACGCCCCGTAGACACGGGCTTATAGAGAGGCCTGTGGTGCGCCGCCGCAGCTGTATAATTGTTACCAGAACGGGATCTACCTCCTCCTGCGGCTGCTGCCCGCTGAGCGATGCCGGCCGAGGACCTGTTCTTACTGAGCGAGAGCAGCGCCCGCCCGCCGGAGCTGCGTCCACCACAGAACCCGCCACTGAATGAAGCCAACACCGAGGCGCCGGGGAGGGACACCCCGGGAGGCGGGTGTTGGCCGTGACTGACAACTTACGCAGCCAATAGAAGGGAAGGGAGCGCGCAGGCGAAGGTGGCGTTTGGCCAATGAACGTTTTTTCCCGCCCCCGCAGAGGCTAAAGAGCGACAGGCGCGGCGGGGCGGGGTCTGCCGCAGGTTAATGTGGACTGGGGCGGCAGCCAATCAGCGCGGGGAGGAGGCGGGCCGAGGGGCGGGGCCGGGAAAATGAGGCTGTGGAAATGGGGCTGTGAGGGGCTGGGAATGGGAATGGGAATAGGTGTGGGATTGGGAATGGGGAATGTGAAGAGATGGGGAATGGGAAGGAGGAACGTGAGGGCATGGGGAATGTGAGGGCATGGGAATGGGAATGTGAGGGCATGAGGAACATGACTGGGACAGGATCTATGAGGGGGTTGGAAGCCATAAGAAGATGGAGGTCTGTGAGGGATCGGGGTCCATGAGGAGCCTGGGTCCATGAGGGGATGGGGCTGTGAGGGGATGGATCCATGAGGGGACGGGGCTGTGAGGGGACGGGGCTGTGAGGGGACAGGGCCCATGAGGAGCCTGGGTCCATGAGGGGATGGGGCTGTGAGGGGATGGATCCATGAGGGGACGGGGCTGTGAGGGGACGGGGCTGTGAGGGGACAGGGCCCATGAGGAGCCTGGGTCCATGAGGGGATGGGGCTGTGAGGGGATGGGCTGTGAGGAATCGGGGTTGTGAGGGGATGGGGTCCATGAGGGGATGGGGCTGTGAGGAGATGAAGTCCATGAGGAGTGTGGGTCCATGAGGGAACGGGGCTGTGAGGGGACGGGGCCCATGAGGAGCCTGGGTCCATAAGGGAACAGGGCTGTGAGTGCCATGGGGCCCCAGGACGGTGGGGACAGCGGCTCCCCAGGAGCATCCCGCTGGGGATGAGGCTGAGGGGAAAGGCGCAGCAGGAGGAAGGAGCAGAGAGCGCTGGCAAGGGAATGGGGTCACTCCTCACACGGTTCCTTACGGCAGCTGCTCCCAGTGGCCAGGGCCACCGCGCTGGATGCCCTGCATGGAATAGGGCTTCCCAAACATGTGCAGTGCTGAGGGAACCCCGGCCTGGCCTGCTGCCTCACAGTGCCTGGAGGGATGGGATGGCCTTGGACTCGGACAGAAGGCTTGGCAGAAGTCATCCAGGCAGCTGATACTCCAGGTCAGCACTGAAATTGCAGAAGAAAAGAGCAAAACTGCCACTTCTCACAATAAGACTTGGCTGTTTGTTCTAACAATGGCCTTACCTCAGTGATACTTGCACCGGCTCAGCCTCCACAGCATTCAGAGAGTACAAGGGTATGAAACGGGACAGCTCAGCCCATCCCAGCTTCCATCTGCCTCCTCTCCAGCCCAAGCTCAGATATTTTCCAGTGCTGCAGATTTTGAGGCTGTAAATCCCAGAATCCTGGGATGGTTTGGGTTGGAAAGGACCTTAAAGCTCATCCATGGGCAGGGACACCTTCCAGTGTCCCAGGCTGCTCCAAGCCCTGTCCAGCCTGGCCTTGGACACTGCAGGGATCCAGGGGCAGCCCCAGCTGCTCTGGGCACCCTGTGCCAGGGCCTGCCCACCCTCCCAGCCAGCAATTCCTTCCCAATATCCCAGCTGGGCCTGCCTGCTCTCAGTTAACAATAGAAATTTTTCTTTTAACAAGAACCTTTTTTAAGTAAGGATTTTAATTCTCTGCCACCGGCGCTGAACACGATTTAAATAGTTTGATGTGTGAAGGAGCGCTGTGCGGTTAAAAGAAGCAGAGTCACTATAGTAACAGTATCAGATACGTAAACCTACTTAATCAAAACCCACTCTCCTAATTATGATTTTGAGGCCTGTCATGAGGAGCACATTCAGCTGCTTTCCCCCCCACCCTGTCAGCATGGCCGTGGCAGCTTCGAAACGTTTCTGAATAATGCTGCTCTGCGCCTATAAACAAAGGAGATTGCAAAAATAACCTGCAAGGTCGTGACTTTGTGCCAGGCTAAAAATAGCCCAAATTGGAGTCATTTAAAAACGCCTGGCCTCATACCCAAATTGCACAAATCCCTTCTGCCGTGAACACGTGCCGCCTCAGACGGGTGGAGGATACTCCCCGGGATCACCTAATGAGCAGCTGAGGCCGTGCTGGAGCACGCTGTGCAGCACTTTGTTGTGAAAGAGCGGCTGCCCCGAAATCTGCGCCGCAATTAGTCACAGCGGAGACAAACCTGCACCCCAGGGGCCGCAATCTGGCAGGGCTGCGGGGCCCCGGGGCTGCCAGCAGCGGGTTTTGTTGGAGGGAGAGCTGTCATTTCCACACAGCACCCGCTGCTTCCCAGCTGGCCTGCGGTACCAGTTCTGCTCCTTCCCAAATCCGGACCTTTTCCAAGATACAGGTCACTGTGGGGAGGAGGCCTGGTCCGTGTTCCCACGGGGGCAGCAGGGCCATGGAGTCATGGAATGATTTGGGTTGGAAAGGCCCTCACACCATCGAGTCCAGCCGTGCCCCAGCACTGCCCAGGCCACCCTGCCCCGTGTCCCAAGTGCCACATCCACATGGCTTTCCAGGGATGGGGACTCACCACTGCCCTGGGCAGTTCCAAGGCCTGGCCACCCTTTCCATGGGGAAATTCCTGCTGCTGTCCCCCCTGTCCCTGCCCTGACCCAGCCTGAGGCCGTTCCCTCTCCTCCTGTCCCTGTTCCCTGGCAGCACAGCCCGACCCCCCCGGCTGTCCCCTCCTGCCAGGGACTTGTGCAGAGCCACAAGGGCCCCCTGAGCCTCCTTTGCTCCAGGCTGAGCCCCTTTCCCAGCTCCCTCAGCCGCTCCTGGGGCTCCAGCCCCTTCCCCAGCTCCGTTCCCTGCCCTGGACACGCTCCAGCCCCTCGGTGTCTCTCCGTGGGTCTCTCTGCCGCTGCCTGTGCCATAGAACCGGAGGAACACTTGTTTCTCCCTCCGCAGAGCTTTTATCGCCGTATTTGGTGCTCACTCACAAGAGTTCCTTCTGGCACACGGAGTGCTGCTGCTCTGCTGTTGCCAGGAGAAGAGCCCCGGGAGCTCCTGGGCTCTGTAAATCCAGCTCGGAGCTGCTGTCCCTCCTGGCTGGGCTGTGGAGCCTCCACTCGCCCACCGCAGGTGAGGATTCACCCAGAAATGTTTCATGCAGCAGGTGACAATTTCGTGGTCACTCCGCATTTCCCATGCGCACAGGCCATCGTGTTCCACCGGGGTTCCTTCCCACAGGGAGCCAGGGTTTGCACTAAATTAAAACTGCACCTCCCAAAAATCAGCGCCGCTTGAAGGGAGTTCTCTTAAATCACACCACGGTGCTTTCTTAAGTCACTTCCACCAGCCTAAAACTGCGTTTTATTTCTCTTTAGAATTTTCCTAGACTTCTGGTCATCTTTCTGCTAGTTTCTTTGCTGAGGAGAACTTCCTTTTTTTCTCCATTTCTCTCGTGATAAACCATAGTTGTTGTAACCACTTAATGCCTGACAGAGAACACAGAAGGCTTTTGTTCCCCATCCTTGGGATAGTTTTGACTCCCCTTTCTGTAACATTTCCAACTTTTCAAATATCTTATTTAAAGGAGCATCACCAGCACTGGATGCTGTGTTCTTGCTTTTTCTATCACCCATCCTTAATACAAGTAAATAATCTAGAATAATCTCTGTTCTAGCTGCCTAGATCTGTCCTTTCATTCCTCCCGTGGTGCTGCACTGCCACGCCCATAAACTCACTGATACGGTGGCTGTGTGTACACAGATAATTCAGGACAAATAATTATTTAAGCCGTGATACTGGCTTTTATCTCGCTCCAGTCTCAGAAGGTTTTGCGGTGCAGAGCAGCAGAACAAGCCATCCCTCAGCAGGCGGTTTCTGTGGTTTGATAAAAGCTGTCCTCCTCGCCTTCTGCTCTTTATTTCTGTTACAAAGCAGCGCTGACCGTTCGCTCTGACACGGTCAGGCTGAGCCTGACACAGAGACAGGGCTGACTCCTCACATTTGCACTGAAGCAGGAACGAGGCAGTAAAGATGATGGCCACCCCCAGGCAAGGTTTGCAAACAAAAATAATGTCTTTTATTACACCAGTTCCATAAAAGATATCACTGCTCCCCGCCAGCCTTGTCCCTCTTACTTCTTTAGAGCAACAAGATAGCTAAGTACGTTTACACCATTTCCATGTTTTGCATTGAGTTTCTGATGGGTAATTTTACCCTGTTTTAAAGCATTTCTGTGTAAAAGTTCTCTGTTGGAGTCTGAGACACAGAGTGTGTGCTCTTGTCTCTGGTGTTTAACTTTGAGACCCAGGAGAACACTGAATTTCATGTAACATGAAATTTATGGGCATGTTTTCATGGTGTTGCATGGAAACAACTGTTGAAGCTAGATAGAAAAGCTAAAAGTGTGAGTGTGTAGATTAGAGAGTTTTCTTAAGTCACTGGGTGAAAAAGTTAAAGTTTAGAGTTTAAACGAGTTTAGAAAGCAGAAGTCAAGATGGAAGATTTAGAGTGTTTTTTTCTTCTTTCTTCTTCATTTTCTTCTAGAGGTTTTTGGGTACTAGTAGGTGATTGGTTAGAAAATGTCACAGTGCAGCACACAAGTGTTGGGTCATTGGGTCATTAAAAAAAATAATATACATGTCTATTGGATAAAAATGAGTATAAAGATAAAAAAGCTGCACAGTTTGGGGCCATCTTGTGCCATCAGAGCCAAAGTGAGCCAAAAAAGGCAGGATGAATTGAACTTGAGCAAAAGTCTGGAAAAGCCTGACAAGTTTTGTGATAACATCCTAATAAATATGAGAAAGATCCTAACGTACTTTGGAGTTTTCTTCCTGACCCGGAGAACTGAGATAAACGGAACTCCCCGTGAGGGAGTATTCCGAAGGAGCCCAGCTCAGAGGAGACTGAGAAATCCACGTGTGAGAAGAAATACA